CATTTCATTAATTTTAATTTTTTATTTTCTATATTCTGAACTCAATTTATTATTTGTTTATTTTACTTTTGTAATGAAAAAAATTTGAAAGATTCACCAACTTTAAAAATATAAATAATATATTAACATAGAATTATTCTACTTTTACTGAATAGCAAAATCTCAAACCAAATGTGCTTTCTAGTTTTATATTTTGAAAAATAAGCTTTCAAAACGGCAAATAAAACTTGTCTTTAACAATCTTAAAATAGACTCTCAAAATAGAAAACTGAAATAAACTAAAAATTGAAATAAATAAAAATCAAAAGGGCCCTAATTCTTTCACCAATCTTCTAGATTTTTACCTTTCGAGCTTTAGTGTTTGCAGGTCTAAGCCAATAACCTTTCATGCATGTCTTCTAAACTTGGATTGTAATTGCGAAATATCATTTAGGGTGTGTTTGATTGCACACATTTTCCATGGAAAATGGGTTTTTTCCACCTTATTTCCTACTTTTGTCTTGTTTGATTGACAATTTTTTCTATGAAAAATATTTTCCTTCTTTTGGTCACGTGACCACATTTTCCTTGAAAACAAGGAAAATATTTTCCTTGGGGGAATGTGGATTTTATTTTCCATGAAATTTAACCTTTCCAAAAATTCTAGGTAACCAACCCACGTTAATATCTCTCTCTCATCTCTACATTAATCTCTCTCTCTCTCTCTCATCTCTACCCACTTACAAATCACTACCCTCTCTCTCATCAATTCAACCGAGCCAGGAGGAAGAACTCGACGACTCTCTGCTTCCAGATCTGCCTCCGGGGAAATCACTACAAAAGGTTGGCAAAATATTAACCCTTAAACCCCAGTTCTAAGTGATTTTCTCGTGTAGCTCCAGAAATATAATTTTAAGTATATATGTTTGTAAGTTTTGTGAAAAAAAAAAGTTGTGGACAGTGACCGCTTCTTGTAATTGTTTAAATTTCTGAATACATGCTAAGATCAGTTTTTTCGTTCACGAGGTAGCTGATAAATAATTTTTCATCAGATTAGTGGTTATTGTAATTCGCCTTTTATTTCAATTAGCTTTTCGGGTCGATTTTTTTCTCCTGCACAATGTTCTTAATTACTTTAAATTTAGTAAGAAATGGTAAGTCAGAAGATATCTGCTCCGCTGCTTGAACGACCCTAACAAACCTGTCGACCAGAAATTCTAAGTAGGCGGTATTCAAAACTTTCATATCCTGTTTCTCCATATTCGCTCACAAAAAGAAAACCATAGGGGAGAGAGTAAATAAAGGGGTGGGGAGAGGAGTATATAACCTTAGTGTAGGGCGAGAATTATGAGGCGTTTATCTGATTGTATATGGTTAGTTGAGAAATGACGTTAGTTAGTAACAGTTGGCAGGCCTGAACAGATTGACACACCTGGTATACGGTAGTCTCTGAAGTGTTGGTGACCACCGTTTAATGAGTTAGTTTTTTTTTCCTTTTTCTCACATGGTTTCCTATTGCAAAGTGAAAACACTGCGCAAAACAAAAGGTAATACTCAAATCTTCTCACTTTTTATGGTAAGTGTCATGACTATTATAAGAGCGAGGTTCAGGGTTATAGCATTGAATTAATTGATGGTAATCTACATGGTTTATGGGGAAATCTAAGGTGTGGGCAAATGAGCATTTTTGGAAGTTTCTTCAGTTCTTGTGAGGTGTTTTTGTCTGGACAGTCTTGTTCGTTTTGTAAAGTTCGATTCTTTGTGCTCTGTGGAGGAAACGTATCGTTATAATTATCAATTAGGTTCTCCCTGCAATGTGTTCTATCAAGATGAGTATTTCTACTGATGAATTTTCAACAGATTGAAAATCAATCAAAATATGTCAACTTCATCTAATCACTAACACTACCTAGAGTGAGAGACATCACAAAAATATTCTCTAAATTCGTGTCTATATAATCAGACAATGAATGGGCAATTCAAATGCACAATGCTTTCCTAGGAAAGTCAAACACAAAAGTATCCAAGGATTTAGGAAGTGAATTGGCCAGTCGATTCTTGGCTTGAACGTGATCAACAGGAAATATTTTACTATGGTAGCATTTTAACACAGTCTTTTTAACTCATATACTTGCCTAATGTTCAATTTAGATTTATATTTGGGCGCACCTGAAGGATCGCTGAGTATGCTTTTAATTCTTACATGTAAAAATCTAGAACATCTAGATTTTACATGCCCATTAGCATCCCAACAGAAGCACGTGGAAACAATTCTATATTTACCTAAACTCCCAGAAAAAAAATTTGCCTTTTTTTGTCTTAAATTTTCTGACATATGTATAAATAGCGGTAGGGTAGACTTAGGCGTGTTTGTGAATCTTTTAGGCAGAAGTGAAACTTTCTTTATGCAAGAGGGTTGGGCATTTAGATTTAATATGGTAATTTTTACCACAATGGAAGCTTTGAGGAACTCCCAGTAATCAAAATGCACATCTACATAAAAGCCCTGAGTCTAGAAGCAAGAATGTAGCAAAAGTTAGTGTTGGAGACTAAATTTAATATCTGTGTCCTCTCTTAACGACTTAAACTTGTAAATGAAGTAGTTCATCATGGTATTGGAGCAAGCAAATTTCTTGGGATCAAGTTTTGCTATCACTATTTATTGAATTCGTGCACATACGAGGCTTTTGACAAAAAATGAATTCATTTTGTGTGAGTGAGGGCATGTTCAACAGTGGGAATGGTTTGATTTACAATAATTTGGTTTACTATCCAAGAAGTAGAAACAAATTCAAGAAACTAAACCCAGCTAGCGTTTTGATTGGTTTGGGTGCGTGTATCTATGGATCTATTACCAATATAATGCACAATAATTTAACTGTTGTCCATTGTGCGTATTTTCCTGTAGCTACAGTTAACTTTTTATTCTGTAATGATGTTATGTTATTCTTTATAAACAAATTTTTATTGGATTTTTGTTTACCATGGTAGTTTATAACATGGCTTCAACAACGAATCAACGTCGATGCCAACGACAACATTTATGTTTATTTTGGACAATGGTCATACAAGCGATTGCGATATATAACGAACTTAGGCGTCCTGCACGACATCTTCCAAGAGCTCCTCATACAAATTGGAATTCTGAAAGAGAAATAACACTTACACAAATGTTTAGCACGAGTGATACAATATGTCGTGATCTCCTTAGGATGAAAATAGGTCCATTTCAAAGATTATGTGCTCGTTTGTGAACTTATGGATTGGTTGACAGTAAATACGTTTGAATTGAGGAACAAGTCGCAATTTTTCTGAATACAGTCGGGCATGACCAACGTAATCGCGCTGGATGTTTTACTTTCTTTCGCTCTGGTCAAACAGTGAGCTTTTACTTTCACAGAGTCTTACACGCTTGTCTTGGACTGTATATAGATGTTGTGATTAATGCCACTCCTCATAACTCACCATACGAAAAAAAAATGTGCAGCCATGGTACTCCTTTTTTTAGGTTAGTGGTTTGGAGATATTTCATCATATTTTTTAAAACTTCAATATTCAAATTTATTTTGAAAAGTATTGTTTTTTAAAGGACGTCGTAGGAGCAATCGATGGTACACATATAGCTGCGTATGTGCCTTTAGAGGATTAAGGTAAATATCGCAATAGAAAGCAAGTGATTTCCCAAAATGTTTTAGTAACTTGCACATTTGATATGAAATTTACATACGTGCTTGCCGGTTGGGAGGGATCTGCACATGATGGTCGATTGTTACGGAGTGCAATATTACGCCAAGGACATAAGCTAACAATTCCTGTTGGTAAGTTGTGTCACTATTTTGAAAACATTTCTTCCACGCATAAGTTATAATAATTACCTAACTACCATCATATGAACGACTCTTTCCTAGGTAAATATTACCTTGTTGACGCTGGCTTCCCATCGGTTTCCGGTTTTCTTGCACCATACCGTAGGACTCGTTACAATCGTAGAGATATTGAAGGTCAACGTCCTGAAAGTAGTAAGGAGTTGTTCAATTTTCGACATTCATCTCTACGTAATGTTATTGAGCGTACAATTGGGTTGCTAAATAAAAGATTTGCATATTTGAGACATCAACCCTATCACGACATTAACACACAAGCAAAGATAGTCCTTGCCTGTTCTGCCATCCACAACTTCTTAAGGATTGATGATGTTGAAGATGTTTGTGAGGAGGACGACTTAGATAGTAGTGATGATGAGGTTAGCCCTACGCATGTTGATGTACCTGAAGATGAAACTCCAAATGCTCACATATCTTTCACAAATCAGGAAGTGTGGTCTAATAAGAGGAACGCAATTGCTGATTTAATGTGTGCTGATTATCTTTCCAATCAAAATGCAGGAATTGATTTCGATTGAAATCTTGTTTTTTTTTCTATGTAATGGATATAAACTTACTAGACTTTCATATTTAGTAATTGCTTGACTTGAAGACGTATTGACATTAAGCAGATTTTTTTTCCCATGTCCTGTAATAGTTGACATAAGATTACTAGAATTTTAAATATTGCAATTGGAATTGTTATTATTGGAGACATTGTTGACATGCAATTTTCTTAAATGTTCTTATTTATTGGTTGACCGTAAACAGTTAATCTTGCACTATACAATTCATGGCAAATATTCGACAAAGCTCTGCGGCACCTTTTCGAGTTCCTAGACCAACCCTTCATTCAGACGTGGAGGAAATAAGCTCAACCCAATCGGATCCTAATTCTAGGAATCGTCAAATACGTTGGAGTGATGCAATGGACGGTTGTATGATAACTGCACTACTACCTCAAGTGTTGTCTAGTCACAAAAGAAGTGACAATGGCTTTTCATCATTTCACGTGTCCAAAGCAATCGAGAGCGTGCACAATGGATGCGGAGTGATGGTGTCTGATAAGAATGTGAGGGCGCGATTGAAAACTCTTAAAAAAAATATGTTGAAGTTCGTCAGTTGTTAAGCATGAGTGGTTTTGGGTTAAATCCTCACACTGGACGTGTCACAGCCGATGTACTAGCTTGGGAGGAGTTGTTGAAGGTACAAAATTTCATTGACCAATGAAAGTATTATTCCTTAAATATTACTAATATAATTTATTGTGCCCCCTAACTAGCGTAAAACATATTTCACTCTTTTTCTTGTAGGGCAAACTAGAATTTGGAAAGTGGAGGACCAAACTTTGTTCTCGTTATGATGATTTGGAGGCTATTTTTGGAAATGATTCTGCTACAGGAGATCGTGCTGTAACCGACAATGACATTTTATCCCCCGATCATGGTACGTACTAGATTAGACATAAAAATTTATATAATTCGTATTCTATTAGAGATTCTAACAATTTCTTATTTTACTATTTTTTAGATGAAACTGTGCATGAAGTTGATGGTCAAAATGAGGATACGGATCCAAGCCCCATTCGCGCTCCTAAGCGTAATGCCGAAGGAGAAACAAACAAAGTTCGCCGTCGACGTACCCAACCTAATGATGAGAGTCTCGTTGCCCTATCAAGCATTGCCGAATCAGCAAAAAAAATTGCTATCGCTATGGAGACTCAAGCAACATTAGATACACTAAACCACATCAATTGGTAGTTGGTTCTAGAAAAATTACAAGGCATGCGTATAGAAAAGCATGACATAATGTAAGTAATGAAAATATTTCGATCGGATGAGAGTCTGGCTAGAGTATTTATGAGTTTGACTGATGAAGAATTCATGCGTGATTTAGTATTTGAGAATCTGGGCCGTGATCTGCCTCCACTATTTTAAGATGACTTGGTTGGATAATTTAACAAACATGTGAAAGTATGACATCTATGTTGATTTTATTTGCTATTTTCTTATGATACAGATTTTTTTGGTTTTTTCATTTTTGTTTTATGTAATACATTGGACGAAGTTTCATCATTATTTATTGAATTGATTATCCGATTATTATTTATGACTGCAAAGACGAATATGTAAGTGGTAGAAATCTTAATTGTTAGGGAAAATTATTTCATCTCGACCGCGTTTTTGCATCTTCCGTACCGAATCTTGGCATATTTTTATCCACAAATTAATTGTTATATTAATTATAATTGATTAGGATTTGGCCGCATTTATGTCTAAAATTTGTTTAAAATTTGGATCACTCACATTGACAAATTTTCATGGGAAAAAACCACTATTTTCCAAGGAAAAAGTGACAATTTTCATGGAAAATAGTGGTTGTCAAACAGACAAAGTTGGAAAAAATGATTATTTCCATGGAAAATAATGACTATCAAACACCAAAAGTTGGAAAATTGCAACATTTTCTAGGTTGAAATTTATGTCAATCAAACACGTGTAATTAATATTTTCCATGTAAATAATTTCTAGGCAATTGAATTACCTGGAAAATATTTTCTTTCCATGCAATTTTCCTACTTGCAATCAAACGCATCCTTAGAGACAAATCATAGTAGACTTCAATCTATTAATTCTTTTTTTCAGCAATTAAGCCAATTATTGATTTCAGATATTGAGAATTCATTAAATCAACGAATATTTAGGTTTGTAAGCATTGTTGTTTTGTTATTTCACTTTTCACTGCATCAGATATATTCTATCAATAAAGCAATTGCAACATTTTCTAAACACACAAAGCAAAACCAAAAACTACAGTCTACAAAGCAAAATAATAATGGTGTAAAGTAGCTTGTATGAAAGCGTGAAATCATAATCACAAACAACCTTATAATTTATATTGATTTACTCATGTATCCTAGAAGAGTCGACATCACACAATTCATTGGTTCATAAAGAATACTCATGGTGCTAGTAGTTGTGGTAAAGTGGTGGTAGTGCATGTGGCGTTGGTGCTGACAGTAGTGGTGAGGTGACATAGCGTTTGGTTGGTGTCATGGTGAATTAGGCTATGACCAATTATTTGATTGATTGTGATAAATAAAATGGTTAATTTGTAACCAATAAATAATATGTAATCAATAAAATAAATAATTTTTTATCAATAAATAATATAATATAAAAAAATATGAGTTGCGACTAATTAATTTATAATCGTAACTCATAAGTTGTTAAGTTATGGCCTATAGAATTTGTAATTTGATATCGAGAAATAATAGATGACTTATTAATTTGATAATTTGTAAGCGATAAATAAATTGTGATATATAAAATTTTGTGATTTGAGATTGAGAAATAATGTGTGAACTAATTGATTTGATAATTTGCGATTAATAAATAAGTTATGATCTATAAAATTTGTGATTTGTAATTGTGACATTCTATGATTGTGATTCGTGTGTTACTGTGATCATAAAATTATATAATATTGTGACATTAATATATTAAATTATCTATTTAATTACAACATGATTTTTGAAATTTTAGAATAAATTTCTTAATTTTTAAATTATATCTTTTAAACACTTTGATATGTATTGTTCCCCAATTTAAATGAGTAAGTTTGTCCTTGAACTTTTAAAAGTCTTGACAAAATGAGAAATTTGTGCACAAATCTTTGATTAAAATTAAGTTCTTGTGTAAAAGTTATTTTTTTAAATCACTTTTATCTACACTCATTTTCAATTAAATATTTTCAAAATAATAATAATAATTATTATTATTCAAATTTTTATTACTTTTTTTCTACTTTTAACAACATGTCATCCCAAAAAAATAACTTTTTTTTTTTTTCGAAAAACATTAGCTAAAACATATTCATGATCCAACTTTCATTTCAACAATGCATAAACTGATAGCAAATTCAATAAAAGACTTTTCAAATACATAACATCAACTCAATAGTTTCAAATACAAAAAGAATGACTTTTGTTTAAATGGGTTCATTTGACAACATACACTTATTTTTCATTTTGTTCGGTGTCCAAGTACTACTAAAGAATAGCTAGAGGCCGTGTTGCTTCCATTAACAAAGTTCTCAAGTAGCTAATAGTCCTCATACTAAAAGAACAGATGGAAGCCAATTTCGGATAAGAGTATATAGCATTCGTCCATGCCTAATGTAATAGCAGAGATTTTGCTCGTGTATGATCCTCATTTGTAAACGTTGCATATGATTGATCTTGATATGATCCTTGCTCCATCAACTCTTGGTGATGTTGGAGTAGAAATCTCTGCAACACAAGTATCAAAAACCCTAAGCCGCTTGTCCATTCCAATTGCAGTTATCCCAAAAATTACTTTTCAAATAATCTCTCCTACACTAGGGCTAAGTGTGACTTGAGCATCAAGAATCCATAAAAATATATTCAAATAAATTTTTTTCCCTCTATAACATCTATAATTTTTAGATGCAACGATTCAACAGATTTAAATTTTAATAATCCAAAATTACTTTTAAATTTAAAGAAAATAGATGGAACATCAATTTAATGAAAGGGGTTATTCATTTAAAATTTGAAAACCAAAATAATAAAAAATATATTTTATTGAGCCACTTGTTTTAAAAGTTTTAGTTTCGTGATGATGTAGTCTGTCAAGGTATTAGACCTAACATAGATATTTTTCAAGCCTCCCTTCCCGCAATTTATGAAAATTGTCTATATATTCTACTTTACCGTTCACTACACTACAAGATCTGTATGTTTTCCCTATGAAACATTTTTGTAAGAAAAGGTTCTTATTTGTGAAAAAAAAAACAATCGCAAACAAAAAAAATTTGTGGGCAAATTTATAGGGCAAACATCGAAGGGATAGATAAAAGTCGACAAAATTTAGGAAAATGTGTGTGTGTGGGGGGGGGGGGGGGGATTGGAGAAAAAGAATGCAGAATTT